GCAGTATCTGACTATGGTTCAGTCCCAAATCCCAGAAACTTTAATTCGAGTGCATTGTGGGCATATAAAATGTGAGTTCCAATGCTTTTAAGAAGTCATGCCATTTTGTCGTTTGACACTAATTTCCAACCCAGCATGCTTTAGCAGTGACTGAAATTAGTTCCAAGTGAATTACAGCTGAGCTATTTTCTACCATCTTTAAGAAGTTTCTTATGCCAACTGAGTCAAGAGAGGTTTTAGACATTTGCTGAGCATGTATTATGGGTTTCATCAGTGTAGACAATCAAGTGTCCTGACCTCACACACACACACACACACACACACACACCCCTAAGGTGCTAATGAATTATTTTTTTGCTGATATTGTAGCATTTAAATTGCCAATTAAATGCTTAACAGCAGAGAAGAGCATTATTTGCAATTCTTAGCTTTTTACCCAAGCCATCAACAAGTGTTATCTCTGCAGGGTTGATGAAATGCAAACCGAGTCAATGGAAATAGGACTAAAATCATTTCCCTCACAACAGTAAAGAGTTTCATTACATATATCATTTATGTGCCAAATTTCACATAGTGTCCACTGGGATATATATCAAAACTCAGCTTTTGTGTCCGTAATACTCAGTGGAAACTTGAATTTTTATGAGACTTGGAGACAGAGTATTTAGGTAATGTGGCTGTGAAGAGAAATCATTTGGCCCTGAGGGAGTGCATTTCTGGGTTTTGAAATTGGAATGTAAGCACACGAAGAATACCTTCTAAGGACGAATTAAATCCTTCAAACAAAAAGGATTCATGATGGATAAAGATTGGATTTGACCTTCATATTTATACAGCTTAGAAATGTGTTGGTTTAGTTAGTATTCATTTAAAGTAACTTACAAAGCATAAACTCAGATTGAGTTCACTGAATTTGACAGGTTAAGATCCAAGCGATAGTCAAATGTACAGAACTGAATTACTGTAGAGAAGTTCACAGTCAGGGTTGCTGGGGTTTAAAGATAAAACATAATAAAAATTATAGCAAATAATCTAAGAAACTTTTGATACAACTTTTTCTTGGGTAATGTTTTCCCATCAAAAAAGCTAGAGTCTCATCATTTTGTGAAAAGTTCAACATTTATACATGAAGGTAGTCTTCTTCCAACGCCAAAACCTTCCATGCTGATAATTTTCGTGCTCTAAAACTATAGCAATAAAGTGGTTGAAGTAAATAAATAAGTAATAAAAGCACATCAAAGTAGTTATGACGAGACAGCCAGATGGCAGAGAATTGCAGCACTTGCTATAATTTTATCAAAATTACTATTGTCATGGCATGTTAGTTTTCATAAGAATTTGTACATTCACTGATCTCATACAGACAAATTAATTTCAGGTTCTCTCATGTGTAGTCACATAACAGCTATACTTGAGCATGCACAAAAGAAAATTAAATAATCATAGGCACATAAACTTGAAAAGCAGCACAATATCTTGAGTTTACCATTCCATAACGTCTTGGGATCAGCGTGCTCTTCTGATGCGTTAGACTCAAATTGATCTACATTCTGTGTCCTCTGCAATGTTTAGCTTTTATTCTACCAAGGTAGCATGTCATGCATTCTATTAGTGAAGAGTTGTTACAGCAGTAATATTGTAATTCCTACATTTATGGCCTCTCTTCTCGTCTCATTCTTTTATCTCTAAAAGAATCACAGAGCTTTTTATGCTTCCCTTTAAAGATAAATACAGATATGAATACTTGATGATTAATGAGTTTAAATGATACTTGAATTAAGAATGTTTATTACAGGTTTTACATGTTCTTTCTCCTTCGTCAAGAATCATGAAAAAAACACCTTGCACGTTTTGCCTGATTCTGCTGCTCCTATCTAGACAGTAAGCTCCAATTCTAAAGACTTCTGTCTAAAGTCATTTATGTCACTGTTCATCCCACAGCCCAAGTTCTTCCTAGCTCACCGGGTCTCTGCATACTTAAGATCTGGCCACACATTCAAACAGACTGAGCCTCAGTTTTGTCTCTGACATGGATGTTCACTTGCTATAGTTCCTGTAGAAAGTCAGTCACAATGAAAACTAAATGTTTGTTCAGGTTTTATTTATTTTGGTTTTTTTGAGATGGGGAGGGTCTTGCTACATAGTTCAGGCTGATCTTGAAATCACTGTGTAGTCCTGGCTGGCTTCAAACCCACTGCGATCCTCCTGCCTCAGCCTCCCAGAGTGCTGGGGTCACACCATGCACCATCACACCCAGTTTAGCACTTGTTCTGTTGTCATCTCAGGATGTGAGTTGAGGGCATGGACATCTTTCTCACCTTTGGAGAAAGCTGTATGTGCCAAGAGTGTCCAGGAAGAAAAGCTCTGTGATAATCTTCAATGCAACTTTTTTCTCTTTGAGATATTGATCACGTTAGTTCTCAAACACAGTGGTTGGAATTATTATAGATGACATAGTTCATATTCAGAATATTGAAGCCCTGCACATGGTAAAATGCCTCCGACTTAATTACTAAGTTGTAGCTTCAAAACAAAGTGAAATGCTTTAAGCAGACAAAATATTTCTTGCTGCATGATTACAGCTAACGAACATTTGGAAGTGAGGTATCTGACCACGAGGGCATTGATAAATGAGTTACATTTCATCCTATGATGGATATTGTAAAATATGGAACACCTTTCCCAAAGCATGTTCAATAGGTTAGAGCTTGCTTATCAACTTAGTATCATTTAAATTGGTCATAGAACACAAGGCATATACATCAACTCCATACAGAATGAAAACTTGCCATGTTCCAAGGTGGTTGTCTGTGGGTGCAGGGCTGAGAGGTTCTTGACTCCTTCCTTACAGTGTTTTCTGTATTTTACAATGAGCATGTGATTTTCCATAATATACGAAGAAAGAACAAGTGCAAAACAAATAAGGTTAAATATCATGCACACAGTTCCAACTCATTGTTCTTTTTGTTTTTGAATACCATGTATTGTACCTTCTATACTGCAATGGTGAATCTGATATCTTTATTCCATGATGCTGTGGCCTTAGTTGAGGGACTGTATCCTGTAGGTCCTAACATAAAACCTATAGGTAGTAATAGTTGCTTACCACATTTTTACTGAGTAGATGTATCATATCCCATAGGAATATGTATTTTTGCAATCATGTGCCTTCTACCTGTATTCTTTTTTTATTTACCACTGATGCATAATGCTTTTATATGAGTAAACACAATGACAATTTTAATAGTTATAACATTCTATGGGATTAAAACATATTAAATTATTATCCTAGAGAGAGATATTCAGGTCATCTCCCATTCTTTCATTATGGACAGGATTCCAGTGAATGTTCCTTCATGCTAGTTTTAATTTCTTAGGATACATTCCAAAAACTTTACTCATTTTTCAAAAGTGATGACCATCTTGATAGCATACCAGATTGTATTACTGTTTTGAATGAGATTGAACCCATTGTAATACAGTACATGCAGCAATAAGAGAACCTAATAATTTTCTTTCCAAATTCATCTGAAGTGAGCTTTAACTTTATCCTTTTGTTACACTCAGTATTTAAAAAAAAATTGCTCCAATTTGCATTTATTTTATTCAATTTCACATGGATCTGTTTTCTCAGTTTTTTAAACACGAGTTATCCATTTATATCCTGTGCCTATTTGGAGTTTTCAAAGTAAAAACAATTCAAATGGAGAAATTATACATTACAACTAACCTTTGTATATTATATTTAATACAAACAATTTTCCAGTATGCTATTTAATTTTACTATTTTCCAATACACAAGAGCTTTTACACCAGGACAGTATACTGCGCGGACTTTTCCCCAACGGTCAGAATGAGCCGCGCGTCCCAGGCAGCCGTGAGGCGCTGCTCAGCCCTGGGTCCTGGGTGTGATCCTTGTCAGGAGGTGTGCAGCGACGCTCCCCAGTGGGGCTTCAGGCCAGGATCTCCCTCACTGCACTCCTAAGCCTGCTCCTCCTTGTCCTGCCACAAGCCTTTGGCTGCCCTCGTGGACGGAGCCAGCAGCAGTGAGCAACTCGCTGCCGGGGACTCCCAGGCGCCCGTCACGGACGTCCGCAGACTTCGAGCTCCTCTTCCAGCAGAGGCGGCCCACGTGGCATGCACATGCGTGCGTGCGTGTGCGCATGCGTGCGTGCGTGGCTGCGTGCAGCTGCTCTGTGCGGAGGGAAACACCTGCACCCCAGAGGCGACGGGGGAGCCGCACCGCCCTGGGCCCCCGGCGGCCCTGCGGTTCCCCACCCGGACTGCGCCCACCGCTCGCTCGCCGTTTCCGTTTCCGTCCGGGCGCTGCTCCGGGGCGCTCGGGCCCCCTCAGCGCCGGGCGATCGGCAGGAGGCCGGCAGGGGAGGTTCTGGAAGGTAAAGGTTGCAGGGTCTGCGGCCGGCTTCGCTCCCCTGCGTCCAGGCGGTCGCCTCCGAGGCCCTTCCGAGCGCAGCGGCGGCCTGGACACCGCGGAGAAGCGCAGCTCTCTTCCGAGGCTCTCGCACCCCGTCTGGGAAGCGAAATCGGTGCGCGCGCGTGCGCAGACCAAAGGCGTTCGGGACTCAGCCAGGGAGGCGGGCAGCGCGGGCCGGGCCCGGTTCCGGTTCCGAGACCTGCGGACGCGTGGAGCTTGGGAAGCGCTCCCCTAACCCGTGCCAGGAGGCCACGCTGCAGGCCCGGGACGCGGAGGGTCCAGGAGCCCGGAGCTAGCAAGGCCGGGGAAGGCTCCCGCCGCAGGCTGCAGTGCCCCGTGGGCCTCGCCGCGCTGCCTTGCACCCTCGAGGCCTCTAGAAGAGCGAGACCGGCAGAGAGTTCCGGAATGAAATGTGGCATTAGGGAAAACGAAGGAAGGGGCCGATGCGGAGGCCAGGAGGGGCAGAACGGGTGTCGGGTGTGGGGCCCGGGGGGCGTCTGCAGCAGGGCCGGTGCCCAGGGGCGTGGGGACGTGCCATAATTTATTTAAATTGCTTTCTGAGACTGTTTCCAGAGTTTTGTTCTTAAAATCGATGGTGCAGTAGTTAAGCATGTGCAAATATATTAGAATAGATTTTAAATAGATTTTAAAAAGCAGATGGGATGAGAAGCAGGTATGTGTGTATGTGATTTTTAAAGACAGTGCCAAACTGTTTTCTAAAGAGACCAATTTACACGCTCTCCAGAAGCACAGGGAGGGGCTGCCTCCGTAGCCTCGCTGGTGAAAGACGTTCTCAGACTTAGAACCTTTGCCAACAGACACAGTAAGAATAAGTCTGTTGATGTAATTTTACTTTGGAGTTCTACTTTAAGTGAGTTTGAGCATATTTCCTATGTTTAAATTACATTTCCCTTTCTATGAATGGTCAGTACCTTTGCCCATTTTCCCCATGGGATTTTAGTGTTACTGATTTGTAAGAGTTTTAAAATATGTACTGGAAGGTCAGCCCTGTGGTTATGAAACGAGTTACAAATATATTCCCTAGATTATAGTTTTTTTGACTTTACTTGTGGAGTTTTTCATACAAAACTCACCTAGATTTTGTGTGAATTTAAAAGGTCTTTTCTACTTCCAAATTATAGAGTAATCTGAGCTATTTTTAAGGTATCCAATGAGATCACCTCTGCTCGTGGCATTCGGAGCCTAAGAGGCTGGCGGTCTACAGTTGTCCTGATACTTCAAGGTAGATGTCTCTGGCTCTCCTAAGATTTTTCTTGGAGTTGTGGGTTAGAGTCATGGTTACGGTTTTGTTTTCTTGGCATTCCAGAAAGCAGAGGTAAGGATCGGTGTGTATGGGAAGGAGAATTCTGTTGCCTGGGAAGAGGATGGGTTTTACCATTGTGCCCAAGAGTCTGTGAATTTGTCTGGTTTTGTGGGAGAAAAGAACTCTTGTTAACCAGAGGAGATGGTGTCTTTATTGATGACACAGGTAATATTTATTTTTCTAGTCTGATGATTCATTTATTCAACTGATTATATTAATTGAGCACCTATCTTTTAAAACTGTACAGTTGTCAGTGCTGCGGCTCTAGCAATAAATGCCTGCTGTGATGTTCGCATCCTCACGTGTTGTGTTTGCACTGCAGTTAGAGTGAGAAATGGGCAGGTTCACGCTGGTGAGGGACCCTGCGAAGGAGCATGACAGCGAGTGGGCCAGGGGACTGGACGGGAGGCTGCTCACAGCTCACTGGGGAGCTAAGGAAGACGTCTCTGAAGAGAGCCTGGACTGAGCCAGTGCCGCTGATGCAGACAGGAGAGAGGATGGGGCTGGGTGGGCATTTAGAGCAGGGGGGGTGCAGAGAGAGAGAGAGAGAGCGAGAGACAGAGGCAGAAGGACAGAGGGAGAGGGAGAGAGAGAGAGAGAGAGAGGAGGACGGAGAGCCCTGGAGAGCTTTTGGAGGTGCTGGCAGTTTGGATTTGAGTTGGAAGCAGAGAAGCCCTTGAGAATATAAAGGAGGAGCAAAGTGATCTGCCTCAGGCTGGAAGAGACCACACTGCTACGTTATCACACTGGGTCAGACATGAGGAGGCAAGGTGCTCTCGGCAGAAGCCTCTGCACGCAGCCCCGACGCCTCTTCTCATCCTTCCTCGCCAGCCCTGGTGCCAGCGCCCTCTGTCCACATGGACCCGGGGCTCTTCATTCCATCCTCCTGTGCTCTTCTAGAATTTCCCTCAGTCTGCAGCCTGTGTAGTTTTACACTCTTAGTTCTTGAAACTTCTCATCTCAAGGACCTTTGCTCCCCACGACCTGGCTGCACCTTGCCCACCTATCCCGCTGTCCCCTCCATGTCTCTGAGGGCTCTCAGGACAGCACTTCTCATCCAGAGCCGTCTGCAGCTGACCCTCGGACCCATCAGCTCCCCTGTGAGAACCGCACGGGTCTGTAACTCACTGTGTAGATGACGAAACTGACCCAAGGAGGTACTAGAACAGTGGGCTGGGTCAGGGCCAGGCAGGACTGTGGGGTACATGACAGTCAGGACTGTTGTCTACGCATCTTCTTCCCAGCTGAGTTGTCTCGGGCAGCTCCTTTGGGAAGCCGTCCTATGCAGAGTTATTCTTCCTTCTCTTCCCTCGTCCTTTTGGCAGGATTCTGCCTTTCCTCCACTGTCCTAAATGCTAAAGAGAAGCCCAGCCTAAATGGTTAAGATGTAACCTGCTAAGTCTCTCTCTAAAGTACAGAACCCCACCATCCGGGGACCTTTGGAATGCCTCTTCCTGGCTGCTCTTCTATGCATCAGCTACTAGGAAGCACATGCATGGATGTGAGGTTGAGCTTGCAGAGAAGTAACGTGTCTGTTTCAGAACAACAACAGGAGCCAGCTCCAGGAGGCCGAGGCTGGCGGATGCGCTGGAGGAGGAGAAAGGAGACACATGCATGGCTGGTGAAGATGCTCTGGTCCGCTCTGTCATAGCCCTGCCACACTGCTGCCAGAGTGGAGCTGAGGTGGAGCCCGCCATCCTCCAGGGTGCTGGCCCTCGAATAAACCGAGTCTTCCTACCCACTCTCGGCTCCCACATACTGGCCTTCCATTGGTGAGCAGTGGGCTCCTGGTGGGACAGGGCCTCTGCCTGTTGGACCTTCTCTGGCTCCTCACCTAGCCTCCAGTTCCCATCTCATCCTTGCTCTGTGCCCCCAGCCAAGGTGCACCATTAGGACAGCTCTTTCCCAAGCCCTTTGCCACAACCCTGGAGTCATCCAGCTTCTCCTTTCTTCTCACTTCTCTGTGGTGCCTGAATTGTCCCAGTGTGGGAAAATGCCACTGAATTTTGCTAAATGTCTCACATCGCAGTTTCCTGCTGCCTAATCTCATCAGCTCTGGCTCAGGAAAATTTGTGATCTCTCTCAAAAAAAATCTCTCTTGGTACCTTCTGAAAACCACTTTCTTAGGCCTCCATTGTCTAATTCCAAATTGGTCTGCTGCGCTTTTACTGCTGTAGTTATTTTCATCAGACAAATTTTAGAGGGCCTGTTGGTCTGGATGAAGATTCTCACCAGGCCACAACAGCCCAGGCTAAAATCCAAGTGGAGTCCCTCCTACCAAGTGTCAAGCTGTCCAAGCAGAACTTTTTTTTTTGTTTTTTATTTTGAAACAGAGACTAAGTTGTTAAATTGCCCAGGCTGGGCTTCAGCTTTCAGTCCTCCTGCCTCAGCCTCCCAGAGTGCTAGTGGAGTCGTTTTGAATATAGCAGAGTGTCGCTGCGACTTGAGCTTTGAGAAATCGGGAGAAGGAGCTAAGTCCCCAACCCAAAGCAGCCATTTCTCATCGTCACGCCAAGGAGGTTGCTTTTGTGCATTAAATCCTTATGTAAAAGGTAAACGGAATAGCCTGATGTAAATCCATCCGTTGTTTTTTTATTGATCTGTCTCCCTGTTCTTGTCTCAGAAGGAAGGTAAGTTCGGGGTGAATAATCTGCCTCTTGCTCTCTTTTAAGTGTTGGGCTTTCTTGTCTCTAAGTCCAACCTCCTGTGTATGGTCTTTGGGCTGGCTAACTCTTGTGTGGATTGGAGTACTGCAGCCTGATTAAGATCTTTACAGTGTAATTTTTAGAGGGCCCTTCTGTGAGCCTCCATCTCCTCACCTCTAACACACAGACTTCCCAACAGGACAGGGGCTTGTGGGGAACACGGGGTCCGGTGTCTGTCAGCTGAGCAATCATTTCTGAATCCCAGCGAAGTTCTCCTGACCTTGTCTCTCTCTCTTAAAATGCTCCTCTTAAAACACTCATCTTTCCTATCTCACAGAAATCGTCCCCTTCCTCTCCGTATCAAACTTAAAACATGAAAGTACGTTTCCTAGATGGCTTAAAAATATTCCAGAGTGTGCATCTCATTGCATTTTGAGGCTGTTTATTCATTTTGTTAGTGCTTTTTGATAAATTTGTAACATCTAGTGATAGCAGGATGGCTGAAACATTGCCAGCCTAATATTAACTAAGTTCTTACATAACTGGTCGTGGGCTTGAAAGTGAGAATCATGATTTAGTCTTATGTTCAGCTAATGATATTGGATATACATACTTTTTGAGGGGTTGGGTTTAGGTTATGACAGTTGCTAAAACCAAATGATAAAATATCTGAAGGAGCTCTTAGTAGATGGTAGAGTGTGTTCGTACTTCATATATACAAGGTCCTGGGTTCAATCCCCAGCATAAAGATTAAAAACATTTTTTTAAAAAATACTGAGTTAAAGAGAGACTTTAGAGGGCTGGAGTAGCACCTCAGTGGTAGCATGTGTGCCTCATATGTGCAAGGCTCTGGGTTCATTCCCCAGCACTAAAGGAAAAAAAAAGCAGGCCTTAGAGTTTCTGTATGGGAAATGTCCACCCAAGGTTGTGACAACGAAATGCATCGTGTCTTATTGCTTACACAAAAGTAATATTTTAGCAATAGCAATTTAGCAAAAGCAGGTATTTTTTTATTATTAAACTGACTCTTAAGTACTACTTCATTCTTTAATCTTTTACTTTCATTGTTTTATTATTTATTATTTATTTATTTTTGTAGTACCAGGGATTGAACCCAAGGCTGTACGAGTGCAAGGACTCTACCAGGGAGCTACATCCCCAGGCCTATTTTTAAAAATTTTATTTTGAGGGGCCAGGGATGTAGCTCAGTGGTTCTGGTGCCTGCCTCGCAAGTGCAAGGTCCTGAGTTTGATCCCTGGTACCAAAAGAAAAAAAATTTATTTTGAGACAAGGTCTTGGTAAGTTGCCCGGGCTGGCCTTGAACTTGTGGTTCTCCTACCTCAATGTCCCAAGTAGCTGGGGGTACAGACGGGCCACCGTGCCTGTTTCTGTGCTATATTTTTACAGTAGTGCCTATGTTAAGTTAGCTAATAACATTTTGGGGCATATCCTGATTTTTAAAAATTATAGCAAAAACCAAACCTTATCTGGTTAGAATATAATTTGAGTCCAAAGTCTGGACTCTTGGTTAGTGTCTAAATTCTAGATCCAATACCTGGATTAAGGTGCGCATGCATCCAGATTCTGTGGCGTGGCATTGCAGGTTCACCTCCCATGGTTTCTCCCATTCCTCTGACAGGACCACTTCAGGGACTTAGTTAATACACCAGTGGTTCCCAAGTTTGTGCGCTGATCAGAATGAGCTGGTGCACTTTAACTGCACAAAGCTCAAGCCATACCCCAGACAATTAAACCCCAGTCTCTGTGTCTCATACTGATTTCAATTCCAGACAGGTTGGTGCCACTGACATGAACCTTGATGCTTTGAGCCCAGGGTCCTTGCACATGCCATCCGGTCTACCCCTTTGTCCCCTGGGAAACCCATCTTCGCTTCCTTAAAGACAAGACGCAGATGCCACCATCTTTGAATCTTCAGTGCTTCCCACCTGAATCCAAGTTCTACCGTCAGTAAATCCATTTTCTGCTTCCTCATGATGCTTTCTGAGTTACCTTCCGACCTCTAGTTACCTACTGACAAGTCAGTCTCTTTCCTGTGTGTGATTTTATGTGCATCATGGCGTTAAACTTTGGAGCTGAGTGGTGAACGACAAGGAGAACCAGGTAACCCAGCCCAAGCCCTCAGTGGCAGCCTTAAGATCTAAGAATTAATAGAGTCATGTGACTGGGGGGCTCTTACCCGTGTTTGTCTCCTTTTTGCCACTGACTTGGGGCCCTTGCAGAAGCTGCCATCCGGCGAGTGCTGTCCGTGTGCCACACACTTTATCCCATCAGTCCTGAGCGTCTCTTCAACACAGGTTTCACTATTTTCTCTTTATGCCTCAGGAAACTGACGCTGACAGAAACCAGGGGATCAGCACAAGCCTTCTCGGCTAAAACGGGGCACAGTCGGGACTGAAATCCACCCTCCCTTTCTTCAGTGTGCTGCAGCTGATTTTCCTCTCAAGAACCTCAGTATCTCCAAAAACCCTGTCACCTTCAAGGATGTTTAAGAACAGAGATTTTAAAAAATGATGTTATGTTGACTGTAGCATGCATTACTCAGGTGATCTAGGTCAGGGTCTGGTGTCCTCAGGGTCTGTGTGGTTTTGCTTTTTAAACTGCACTGGCACCCACTGGGCCTCTCTTCGGTGGCCGGTAACCAGTTGGTGTCATCCTCCTGGAAATCCACTGGTGCCCCAACTTCAATTGCAGCTTCCGTGAAAGCCTGCGACAGACTAGCACTTCCCCTGAGCACCAGCCTCGCGAAGCATATCATTAAGGGTGTCTTCATCCTTCCAACTGCTTCAGGCTTTCCCCGAAATAACAGCCCTCTCCCTAGAGGTTCTGCAGTCACCTCTCAAGGAGAATTGAAGCCTGCATCAGTCTTGAATTTCAGAAGACCATGAAAGGCATGGAATGTCAACACTTGTGCCAAAGACAGGGAAAATGCGGCTCCTCCATGCCAGCGGACGGGCTCACTGCTATAGGGAGAGAGGACTGAGAGGAGGAAAATTGAGCAAGCAGCAACACAAGCAGCTGGAGATAGGGAACAGTGAGCAGGTGATGAGCAGCAGAAAAGGAAAAATGAAGCATTTCCGTGAAAACCCATTATTACTGAGAAGCAATTTTTAATATGGCTAAAAGCCTGTTTAACAATAAGAAGAGGCCTTAGCATTGCTAAAAATAAAACAAAAGGACATTTTGAATGCTAAATATAGACAACGGAATCACGAAGAGGATGTAAGATGCTTCTTAAACTTGAAGATGATAAATGAAACTTAACTTTTACAGTTGAGGATTATCTGCAACATAGATTTTACAGGAAATGTTGGGATACTGGTGGTAGAAGATGAATACATACTAAAATGTCGATCTCTGAGGAGCAGTACTTGTAGAAAACAAACACCTCTGGAATGCCTCCTAGTGGTTGTGTCTCCATCTGACAGATTGATGCTTGTGAAAGATAGCGAGGTTAGTGACTATTAAACACCATGGATGAAAATGTTTGACATAGCAAGCCAGGTGTGGTGGTGCAGGGCTGTAATCCTAGCACTCTGGGAGGCTGAGGCAGGAGGACTGAAAGTTGGAGCCCGGCCTGGGCAATTTAACAACTTAGTCTCTGTCTCAAAATAAAAAACGAAACAAAACAGAGGGCTGGGGTATAGCTGGGTGAGAAGGCCATGGGTTTAATCCCGAGCAACATGGGATGGGTTAAGAAAGACAAGAAAATGATTGTTATGTCAAGTAGGTACATTAGCAGCAAGCTTTTGGAGTCGTTTTGAATACAGCAGAGTGTCACTGAATACAAGTCACCCCAGATCTGAGGACCTAGCAAGAGAACTGTGATCTCCTAAGTTTCTGAGACGAGCGGGAGCGGCTTTGGCAGCGCGGAGTCGCGGAGCTGCGGTCTGGTCCAGCTGTGTCAGGCTCCATCCTCTGAAGGTGCGGCCCGCACTGCACAGGCTGACCGTGGGCGGGGCTCCTTCTCTGGCCCCCAGGCTTCTCCAGGTGCGGTGGGGAAGTTTCAGTGGCCCCGGGTGGGTGGGTTGCGGAGAGAGAAGAGCAGGTGTCAGCTGTGAGTGCACCTTGGAGGGCATGGCCTTCCTGGGCCAGGCCTGTCTATCAGCTGGGTCTGCAGGACGGAGACCACAGGGTGGCCAGGCCCTTTGCAGTGACTTAGTTCCTCATGGTTCTGGAGACCAGAAGTCCCAGATCAAGGAAACCTCAAAATACAGATGTTGCTCCTTCAGCGACCAGACTGCTGAACAGCTGCTCAGACTTAGGACCGGCACTGGGGCTGCCCCGAAGGAAGGTGAGCGCAGAGTGGCTCCAACAGCCTGGACTGTGACCTTGCTGATGGTGCTGGCCAGCACAGTGCAGGACCTCCACATTCTGTTACACGTCACAGGACTTCATGTAGCCATGGATGTCAGAGCAGCATCATCACGTTGGAGCTTCCTTTGAGCGTTTCTTTGTTCTGAATATTGTAATGTACATGCTGTGTACAACTTGGCATTTAGCAACCAATTCACTTAAGGACCCAGGCACAGGAACTTGGTCGTTAACCGAGGCATGTCTGTGCTGACGCTTGTGCCTGATTTATTTCACTTAACGTGTTCCCAGAGTTCATCCGTTTTCCTACAAATGACGAGTTTATCCTTCTTTATGGCACAGCAGTGCTCCACTGTGTGTAAATACCACGTTTTCTTTATCCACTCATCTGCTGATGAACATAAAGGCTGCTTCCCAGATTTAGCTATTATGAGCTGTGCCGCTATTGAGAAGCAGAAAATAACACAGAATAGCACAGTGAGCACCCATTACCAACTTAGCAGCTTTAATGGAGCTTCAGCTCTTTGCAACAGTGGCTTTGGACTTCTTTTTCAGAAGTTAAGAATTCCTATTACATCCGAAGACCACCATGTGCCGTCCCCTGCCCCATCTCCCTTTCTTGTTCGCCAGTGGGCACGTATCATTGGAATTAGTTTATTATTCACTAACAATATATTCAGTTATTATTGCTATATAAATGACATGTTCGCAATGTTTATATAAATTATCTAATTGTGAACTATGTGATTTTGTCTTATTCATTTATTATGTTATGCACATTGTTGTGTTATTTGTCGACATGTTTGAGAGTCATCCCTGGCTGCACATTTATTTCTAACTAGCTGAGCTGTGTGGTGGTCTCTGTTCAGTCCTCCGTTCCCCTGTGAGTGGATATTTGCTTACTTGGTTTTTCACTGTTGTAGCCAGTGGCTTGCTTTCTGTACTCAGCTCTGTAATTTTGAGATTTATCCACAACGCTGGCCGTGCATCTCTTTTGTCTACGACAAAGGACATTCCTAGGTGCTTACAGCTTGCACAGCATGACTGTTGCACAGTTCTACACAGTGCTGCTGGGGGTCCCTCGAAATCTCCCTGAGTGTGGGGAGTTTCGTGTGCCTGGAAGTGGAGCTGCCATGAACCAAGCGCACACACCCTGCCCACTCTGTTGGGCACTGCCGGATGGCTCCGTAAGGTGGCGGCAGCTCTGTTTATGTGTTTATGACGGGAATGGGCCGAGTCAGACTCGAGTTTTGCTGGTCCAGTGGATGCAAAGTGGGGTCTCATTAACATCATTATCATAATGTTAATACTATAATTTGTCTTTACCTCAGTATTAATGAGGTAGAGCATCTTTTCATATTTATTGGTGATGCTGGCTTCCTTTTCTGTGAACTCCTTATTGTATCCTTTACTTCTTCCCTCCCTCCCTCCCTTCCAAGAAAAAGCTGTAATTACAAAGTAAGAGGAAATGGTCAGGGCTTTGCCTTGAGGAGCAGATGGAGCTGTGGCCAGCTGCCCTTAACACAGGAGAGGGAGTAAGAAGAGGAACCAGCTCCAGCTGGAGCAATGGGGAGTTCCAGAGAGCAGACCGGACCTGCCTGGCCCCTTATCTAAGTTGCTTTTTATTTTATTGGTCAGCAGTAGTTCCTTATATATGTTAGATAATTTAGTATGCTTTGTAAATATTTTGTCCATATTTGTTTTTTTGTATCTTTTGTTAAACAGATTGTTGAGAATTTAGTAAGATGTATCTGTGTATTATTTTCTGCATGACAGGTTCAGGGGAACCCAGTATCCACCCAGGTGCTAACAGTTGTTATAGAAATTCTGACGCATGTACCATCGCTTCTTGTTAAAGCACTCTTCCACGTCTGCCATGTGTTGCATGCGACATAACAACTAGGCTTAGTTTTATCTTTTTTCTTTTTTTTGGTGGTGGCACTGGGGATTGGATGCAGGGTCTTTGCATTGAGCTACATGTCCAGTTTTTTTCTCTTTTCTTATTTTTTGAGACAGGGTTTTGCTAAGTTGCCCAGGCTGGCCTTGAACTTGAGATCCTCCCGCCTCAGCCTCTCTGAGTGCTGGGATTACAGGTGTGCCCCACCACACCCACCTTTTTATTCCATCTCACAGATGGGAGGCTGAAGGGAGGCCCAGAGAAGGGGTACTTGCCGGTGGTTACACTGCTGTTGCCCAGCTAGGTCACAGGAGTCCTTCTGTTCAGGCATTTGAGATCAGTTCCATGCAATGGGGACAGAAATTTAATATTCTGTACACGGAACATAAATGCTCCAGCAGTTGTGAGGAATTTGTGTACTTTTCATAATGAAATACAGTGGTGCCTCTGATCACAAACTTAATTCCTTCCACGATTCCGGGGAAGAAGCATTGATTGTGTTGGCGACTTGATGTGAACGAAGGCAACATTCTGTTGACCGCTTCTGTCCAAGAACTGGATTGTTTGTAAGCAGAAGTGCTCATGAACTGAGCCATTCCTGGACCACGTGGGCAGAGGCTCTGGGCATTACCTTTGCTTCCCTCAGGGTTTGCGAGAGGTGCTCTTACCCAGTGTCTCCTGCACCCTCTGGAGAAGTGAGCTTATTGGATGAGCCTTGGCTGTCCTTTCGGATCTCACCAGGGAGCCCACCTCCGCATTTCTGGAGCTGACCCCGGTTCTCTCCTCTCCCAGTGAGGGGCACGGGTGGTCACCAGTTGCCCGGCAGGAGCCCAGGTGACATCTGTACCCTGCTTGCCCCTCAGGGTGATGTGAAGGAGCTTGGATCCTCCGCTAAGCCTGGACAGTGCTTCCTGCTTTTGGAGGGGTCACCTTCCCCAGGCATCTCACATGTCCCAGCCTTTCTGTCCTGAGTGCAAATCCTGTCCTGCTTGTGCTGTCCGTCAGGTCACTGGACCCATCTTGCCTGTCTTTCCGGACGTGCCTCTGCCTGCTCCGTGCCCTTCTCTCCTGTCCTTGCTCCTTGGCTTTCCAGACCAAGACCCTTCCTTGCCTGGTCTCCCTCGATGCCATCATGGGACTGTCTCTTCCTGTCCTGCCCTGGCACCTCTCCCATCACATCCTGGTCACCCCGTGACTGTTTGTCTGCACTTCCCTGCCTGTCTTTGTGGTACTCAGACAGGGAGCTGCAGGAGTAGGACAGATGAGAAGCAGGAAGGAGAGGACTCCTGGGTCAGCACCTGCTTGTTCAAATGCTGCCCTCTCCCCAGTGGAAAGAGTCCCTCACTGTCTGCAGCAACAACCGTATTCAGCACCGAGTACAGTGCTGCTTTTATTTTTTGGTTTTTTTTTTGATATAGGATCTTGCTACATAGCTCAGGCTGGCTTTAAACTCACTGTGTAACCTTGGCTGCCCTGGAACTCATGGCAGTCCTCCTGCCTCAGCCTCCCAGGTGCTGGGATTACAGGTGTGCACTATTCTACCCAGGTGCTATTAAAGTGCTGTGAGGCAGCTTATGCACTGGTAAACTCTGGAATGATTGGTATGATTCAGTATAAAATTTTTGAAGAAATGAGTACTTTATATGTATATATAAACAGTATAAGTGCAATACAAGCCCTTACACATATAGATGCAAAACCGTGTGCTACAGCATCCATGGTGTATTATGAAATATTCACAGACCGTTTGCAGTGCAGGTAACCCTGTGTAGGAGAGCTGTGTAGGGCCCTTGGGAGCGGTACTGTTGGTCTTCCGGCCAACAGTTGGGCTCACAGCAGGCTGTGCAGGGCTTCTTTGGAAGCAGGAGACAGGACTCAATTAGCGTGATGTGCTGTGTCCGTGACATGGCATGTAAGTGTCTTCTACAAACTCAGTGAAACACAGTGTTAACCAGCAGAGTGAAGTGATTGCGTCATGCTTTGGTAGGAATCATCTCAATTCACACTGACAGCTAATGAGGAAGTCCTCGCCATAATTACTTATGTGTTGGGGTGGAAGTATTATTTCCTTCCAAATCCTACTATTGGAGGAGAGTTTTGTCCGCGTGAGCTTTCTGTGTCCGTTGAGTGAAAAGTCACTGGGTAGCCCCTCACCTGACCGTCCTGGCAGGCCTGACACTGGGGCAGCTAATTTCCCAGTGAACATTTCTCGATGAGTCTGCTCTCTGTGGTGACACAGCCGACCTGGTCTTTGGTAATTTGCAGTGTGGACACAGCACACTCTGGGGAAAAGGAGAACCACACGGCAGCTCGAGGAAGCCGAAGTTCACCGGCATTGGGAGGGATCACTGCCGCTCGCACGTTGCTGAGCCTTGGCCAATTCTTTCATGTCTGCAAAGGGAAACCGAGCTTATAAAATCTTGCTAAGCACCTTGCACAGAGCTGTCACCTCCGATGTCCCTTTGCTCTGCTTGCTGCCTGTGAAAGGAGAAGATGGGAAGCAGAGAGTATCGTTTCATTCACACGGGCCCATCCGCTTTCTGTCAGAAGCAATCTGCTTGATGTCCCTCCATGTGTGCGGGGCACCCGGAGTGGCCTGGCTGTTTTCTAACCCTGGGTGCAGGTTGTCAAGCAGCATTTGTCTGCTCCCCTGCCTGCCCATGGAGCAGGGCTCAGCTTTGCTCTGGTGGCAGAGGCAGCCTTAGGCCGGCCAGCATCTGTCTCTGCCTGTAATTAACTGCAGCCCTGGGTAGGGAGCAAAACAGAGATTTTGTGCTGTGAAAGAGTAATGTGTCCAGACAGGAGTTTCTAAGCAGAGAAAAGATTTGTTAGGGTTTCTGTTCAAACAGAAGGACACTATTTTCATGTGTGTGCCTCAAAATGTTTTGAAGGCAGAGGGACCATTTGCTTCCAAAGCAGAAATAGCTGTGGCAAATTCAGTGCGCCTTAAAAGCCCCTTCAAAAGCCTTCACTTGATTTTAGCATCAAAAGAAATACTTATGGCAATGAAGTGTAGGCCATAAATTAATGAGGAATCCATGGATTGCTACTGACATAAATAAAGGAATAAGTTTTTTAAAAGATGGAGAAGAGAAGCCCTCCTTTTCATAGAATGCCAACCAGGAACATGGAAGGAAGCAGTTAGAAAATCACCATCTCACAATTGTCGTGGTAATAACTGGTTCAAGCAGAATCAGCAATAGATGTGAAGACAGCGCTAATTGAAAGGTTGTTGAGGATCAAGATTGATGTGGTGATCCAAGTTATCTCTTCACAAATTTTTTGGACGTTTGAAACTATCAAAACAAGGTACCCAATATATAGACTTCACGGCATCTTTTAGTTTTTTCCTAGGCAATTGGAACGAGGCTCACTCAGCTGGGTGGGCTTGGCTCTTTCTCTCATGGTGTTAGGAAGAGCCCACGTGTAACCTGGAAACACGACTCGCCAGCTGCCAGCCGAGCTTCATTACCGTAACACTTCCCCATCCGGGGCTGCTCTTGCGGGAGGCATGGCGTCTGAGTGCTTCCCATCCCAGAGATGCACTGAGACCTGCTGTCCACGTAGGGTTTGGAGCAGATGTGAGTATCCGTGCCGCACATGGGCTGCCATGGCACGCACTCATATGTCCTCCGACCTCACAGACAAGGCCCTGGAATTTAGCAAATGAAGTAGAAGGCAAGGAATATATATATAGTTTTGAGTTTCTTAGAAATATGTTAGCCCTCTCCTGCTTAGGTGTGTAGGAGTCCTGTTGAACAAATTACTTAAACTTATTTCAGTGATGTGGAAACGGAGTCCCAGGGATCCCTAAATTGCACAGAGTCCTGGCTGTAGGGGCTGGGACTTGGATCCAGGCTTCAGCTTCTCAAGCTAGTGCTGTGTTCACACATTGCTACGCTCACAGTAGCCAAGAGTGTGGACATTTCTTTGCCATTCACAGAAAATGAAAGCATAGTAATGTTTAAGTAGAGCATCAAAGGGAATTAAATCATACATAATGTTGGAAAAGGTTTTTGTTTTGAAATAATTTTAGATTTATAGAGCAATCGTAAAGATAGCGTAGAGCCTCTCCAGCCCTCCTGCTTAGCTTGTCCTAACGCTATCGTCTGACTTAACCACCGTGCGTTCATCAAACTGAGAGAAGGGCGCTGGTGCAACCGTGTTGGCCGAGTTGCCGATGTGGGCGGGCTTCCTGGTCCTCCCGGGGCGCCCTTGCTCCCAGGCCCCGCAGCACGCCTCACCCAGCAGTCCCGCCCTGGCTCTCTCTGATCTCTGCTAGTTTCTCCACAGCCCATTGTCTTTCCCTGACTCTTGTATTTTTGTACAATGTCCTTCAGTTGGGGTTTGGCGGGGAATCTCTCATGACCAGATTGAAATGGATTCGAGGGGAGATACCATGGAAATTATGGGTCCTTCCCACTTCAGTGTATGAGATGGTGAGGTCTCGTACACCTCAGTGGACATGTAGCCTGGATCACATGGTTCAGAAGGTGCCTGCCAGCTTTCCCAGCAGCCCTCAGGTCACTATTTCCCCTTGCCTATTGTGTTTGCTAGAAGCAAGTGGTTCCGCCCATACTCCAGGGCAGACGAGTTTGGCTCCGACTCCTACAGGGAGGTATGTTAAAGTTTCTGGACATAGTTAAGAAATTATAT